GGTCTGAAAGTGACGTACGAAACGAATCACGACTTAGCGCTGGCCTGAAAAATGCTGCCTTCCCTTGCATTTCAAAAAAAAAAGATCCGCGATTCTTATGATATGATCGTTCAGGAAGTTCAGAATGCATGCGACAGAAATTTTTTAGAGTCTAATTCGGCTCTGCTCATATAAAGCATAGGGCCAAATTGCTATGTTTAATTCCAGTTCTCCCTTTGGAACCAGCGAGATGCGGCCGTAAGTGGGATTGCTAAAACAACAAATGCTGTCGAAAGATGGCATTTCGCATCCAATCCTATTTCAGCGGAGCCCACCCAAAAACTTAGAAAGTTGTGGCCAGCCAGCAAAAGGAAGCCTCCGTTCGAAAATTTAACTTTTTCGATGCATCGAGTGGCCATAAGTTTGTAAAAACAAAAAATACCGTGTAATAAATGCAGGATTACAAAACATAATGCCCGTTTACGAAGACAAAACTGATATGTATTTTTTCAGAGCGTCATCTAGTTTGTATTAAGCTAGTGTACATTTTGTCTCATTTTCGTTTCTTCTTTCGTATTATTAAAATTCAGTTGTCAGCTGTTTTAGAAAAGAAGTTTCCTTGCAGACTTGTGGAAACAAAACTAAACGCAAGAACTTGACTCGTGCACTAGCAACATTAAAATAGGACAATCGCCCTCATGTTAGGGTTAATAGGATTGGACTAGGGGCTGGCAAAAATTATGAGGGGGACCCTTTAATTTTGCGTATAATTGCAAGCAATTCAAAAAAAGCTGACAAAGTGATCAAGTTCTAGTCTTATGTTCGAGAATCATTGTAAAAAAAAGATTCATTTTTAGGCTTTTGGCGTTGATTAAACCTTTTTTTAAGTTTCCATACCGGCCGAAAATTAGGCCATAATAATCAGAGGCCGTCTAGTTATTTGCGGGTTTTTGAATTTCCTTGAGCATCTGCTTGTTTTTGGTTCATTTTGAAACGATTCATTGAAATTATTGGCAAGGACTTTTCTGTTCAAAGTTTACGCGGATTAAGCTGAGCAAAATTGTCTTGCTTTAAAAGCAAAAATTTCTCCCGTTTGCTTCTTTGATGTTTACTGTATGAATTAACTTTTCTTTTGCTTTTGAATTAAAACGGTTCTAAGTTATACAAATGGCATTAAAATGTAGCGATGTGAAATTGCTATGGCAACAAAAAGTAGAATGTGAAATTGTATGGTGTTATTTTGTTTAGAGTTAAAGAGGGGGAACCAAATAAATCTTTTCCACATGGATAATGCTTTGATTTTTTAATTACTTCCCTGAATGACCTTCGGTTCTAATTAGGCACCTGCCAGTTCTATTATAGCATCGACTTTTCTTCCATGTTCAGAATAGTTTGAGGTTGTCATTTTAAATAGAATCATTTCTTAATTTCTTTTCTTTTTTCTTAAGTTTAGTGTGCATACTAGTACTTAGTTAATTGTACAATTAGTACATTTTGTTTTTACCGATGAGCAAAAAGCTTTTATCAATTTCCCCATATGCAATTTTCTAAAACTCAACAGTGAAATTTCAATTATTTAGCTCAAAAATCGATTTTTGTATTACCTTGCGACCGCTTTCATTTAAAATAAAAATCTTTCGAACAGTTTTACACTGCAAATGTAAATTTTATCTTCTATAGTTAAATTGAACCAAATTTGCATTGGAAGTGTCTATAAGTTTTATTTTAAATTTTAATGCAAAATTGAGTGAATAGATGAATCCACAGAAAATTACCTTTAAGATTTTTGAATATTTTCAACTATAAATTTTCTATTTTTTTTTCATGGGATCTATCACTCGAAAACACAATTTTGCTGTCATAATTGTACCCCTTAAACCAGCAAAAATGCTCAGGATTTTTTTGATGAAGAGAATAAAGTTTTAAGGAACATTTTGTCGAACTTTTATTATAGTTTGTAAGTCAGCTATGTCGAGTTTTTCGAACTCTGCCAAAACTCAAGAAAGATCATTTCTGCACCTCAGCCAAATGTTTGAAAAAACTGCCGTTTGAGCATGGAAACTGCCCTTCTCAGAGTTATTATTTTTTTCAGTATTTGTAAAGATATTACCTTAAAATTGTTTCAGAGTTGATCGCTATTTTCTAAAACGTTTCTCAACACAATTTTAATTTAAAATTTTGTTTTCTGATCATCACAATTCCATCAAAAGTATTTAAATTGATCTTTGCTCTAGAAAATTGCCAGTTGTTACTTGAATTGTTCTTTCATCTGATTCTGATGCTATTGTAGCTTTGGAGCGCAGCTTTTTAAACAAACCTCCAACATTGCCCTTTGATTGAACTTGACAACTTGAATTGTCAAAATTATGAGTGGGACTTCTTTTATGTATGTTTCTGATGTTATGTAGAGCGTTTCCATGTCGCAGTTTAACATACGAAGGCGTAAGTCTATTTCTTTTTTATTTCTGTGGTCAAAGTTTAAGATGCGATTTACAATGCCAGCCTGGGGCAGTCAGCTCGTAAAATTTATCGCTTTGAGATCCCCTGTTCCCTCGACTTCAACCGGTTTTGTCTATTTATCTGATTACTCGGTACGGATTTCGACTTAGCCATTTATGACTTTGCGGTATCTTACCTGTAACGAAGAGCCTAAATTACTATACCTACCATCATTCGATGCCATCAGTAGAAAAACAGGAGACGTATCTTAAGTATTGATAGAAGTTAGCTCTGTGATTTCGTTTATAGACTAGTAAAAGTAAAAAAGGCTCGCTGCAGTTCAAGAAATAGAAGCATTTATTGTACAGTGCTGACAGTTTTTATAGAAAAACGCTCCTTGAGCATGAGCAGATGCATTTTGGTTCAAACAAATAATTACCCAACACAACTCCAAAGGTATTCGTAAAAAATGAGATAACTGTAAGCTCTTTCATTAATTTCTTTTTGGTGTTCGTAAATGAGTCGTATTAATCTTATAACCTGGTATTGGTTTGTAATATGACATAAAGTTTCAAGCAGAGTTTTGTCACCATCTCCAAAGCGCTGGACTTTCAAGCTTGCTAAAATATTTTAGCTCTGACTAACTTCGAGTCTAACTAACTTCGAGTCTAATTCAACAAAAGGACGCGCAGAACACTCAGAACTAAACTGTATTTTGTGACTAAATGAAATACAACAGCAGTAAAAACAAGCAAAAAAGCGGGTTGTTGAAGTGGAAGCACAGAAAAGTCCTACCACAAAAAAAACTAAAAAAGATTTTTCTTTTCAAATTGTGTCAAATGCTGTCCGTGTCATTATGGGAGCATCTGAGCGAAAACGACCTGAACTTAGGAGCATTCGACATTACTTTTCTTTAAATAAATATGAAAAGTAAAAAAAAAATTTGTAGAAAGTTTTTTTGAATTTTGTTTAAGTTTCATTGCGAGGCTTAACTGTGCACTAGATAGGCCCACAATTTGTTGAGTGCAGGTCTCTGGAAGCCAAAGATACGTCTTTAAACATCTCAATATTTTTACGGAACGATCAAAGAAAACGAAAGAACAAAGAAGATCAAGGAGAGCGTCCTCGTTGCGGAGTCCGCTTAAAATTGACAAAATAAACCGTGTGGCCTCGTAATATTTTGTTACCACAAAAACGCGACAAAGCGTCATAAATTAATTTTAATGGAGCAAATTTAAGTTTATTGTTCCGACTTTCCTAACGAAATTAACGGAATATTTGTGCTCGGGGTGGGTTTTTTCTTCTTCAGACAAATTTCGACTTTTTAACTAGCCATTTTTGACGGCATTTTTGTATGTCATTCGAAAAGTATTGATGTCCTGAGCTTAAATATGAAAAGATATTTCACCTGTGATTTTTTTTGGTAATGTTATGGGGGTTTAAAGATTGTAATTTTGGCCAAATTAGGACAATTAACGCGCGATATATTTCGCGCTATTAACGCGTAAGCGAATATTTAATCCGTCTTAGACATCGTTCCAAATTGGTTGAAAGAAGCTTATTTGTCACAATTTATTTGGTAAAAGGAGCACCATCTATCCTTTTGTAGTTTACATGACGTGTGGGGAGATGATTTTCACAAAAAAACTCAAATTGTAGAATTTTTTTTTTTTCATTTTATTTGATTACATTTTTTTTTCTACGTTATTACTGCTCCAATGACCTTAATAGGCAGTCGGAACCTTGTTTTGTTTTTATACTCTTCTTATAAGTTGCTCGCTCGCTTTATTCATGCATAATTAGAGTAAAAATCAAAGTGTTTGAACCAATTTATCTCAACATCGAGGAAACCCTTTGGCAATTTTCTAAGAGCTTCGATTTTTGACAAAAAATGTTCTAATAACATGCCAATCGGCCATGACCAGATTGGGGTACCTGATTTTGCGGGGAAAAAACAATTTGCAGAAATAAATCATACCCGAAGACAAAGTTCCTGCCAACTTTCACGATTGTCGAATTCACAATTTTTTCTCTCGCTTAGAGTATCAATGAAAAAAATCGAATGCTTGCTTGAATAATCAATTATAAAAACAAAATTGCTCATTTCAGAACAAAGCCCTAAATACTTCGACTGGTCTCAAAAATATCTGAAATAAATGTTGATTAAAAAAAACTCGCTGAAATTGTAAGAAGTCTTTTTTAACTTTTGTAAATTAAGTTTTTTTCTGTTGAATTCCTTCTCCCGCTACAAAATTTGTGATATGATAGTTAAAGTAGTGTGAACCAGCTGGTTACACTTTTTGTTACACTAAAAATGCTTTTTTAAATAAAAGTTTGAAAAAAAAAACTTTTAGGAGGGGTAAACTCTACAAAAAAAAACCTAATTAATTCCTGCCGCAGTTATCAAAATCCCTCTCCTCCTTTATGAACTTTTTTTTCTGAGAAAACTGTGTTTTTTAAAAAATTGTAACTAATCGAAATTATTTAATTGGCGAAGTATGATTTTTGGACAATAGTAGATTTATATTTTTGTCTTCGGAAAATTCAAATTAGGAAGACATTTAATTAGCATCGATATTTCATTGGGTTTTTACCGTAGCAATGTTGTAGCAAATCAATTAGGGTATTTGTAGCAACTCAATGTAATAACCACCTATTATAAACCTCCGTTTTGTTGAGTTGAAGCTCTTCTTGAGCTTGGATTAGAGTTCCCATTTTTCACTTTATTGAATCTCGGTAGCCAAGAGGTTCCACCCGACCCACCACTCGCGGGTTTCAAAATGCCGCTCGCAGATGGCGCCATCGCGTTCGCTAGCTTGGAGGCAGAGGAGTACGAGTTACCGCCCAGGTGATTAAAATTAGCCGAAGGCCCGGAGTGAAAACTGGAGTCCAGGGAGCCCTCTCCAATACTGTTTAAAGAACTGGTTGAGCTATAGTTTGACAAACCGGTTATTGACCTCGGAGTGTCAAAATGAGAGGACAAAGGTCGGACCTGATTGACAGGTATTGGCGACCTAAATTTAGGCTGGGGCAATCTAGTAGGCATGATTCGTTCACGCGGCAAAATCGGAGTTGCGGGTAAGGACATAGGCTTGTTATTGTAGATATCTTGCATACTTTGACATACAATTCGTGCTTCGTTTCGGAACATATTCGGAATCATTTTCTGAGATTCCAGAATTTTTTCGGAATTGTTGGTCGAAACGTGCGTGAAATGATCTTCAATTCCCCGCAAGAGATCTTTGATTAGCCTACTTTGATCAGAAATTATAGTTTGCTGCGCCAATAAATATTCACCCATTTTTGTTTCATAAAACTCTTTCAAACATGAGACTTCGCTATTTAATCGATCTTTATACTCAGTTTCCATGTGTTTCATCATTGTAATTTGTTCGTTATGAAGATTTTTCATGTTATCTTGTTGGAAGTTGTGAATTTCCTTCATATTATTGACTTGAAACTCATGTTTAAGTTGACTTTCGTTCCTTAAACTTTCGATAAGTTCGAACTGTTTTTGCTGCATTTCAGCCATTTTTTGGTCCTGCTCTTTTTTATACTGTGTGGTTTTTTGGTCCTGATAATCTATTAGTTCTTTCAACATGAGCGTATTTTTCAAAGCAGTCTCAGCGTTTTCTTTCTGAACTGATTTAATCAAGTTTTGCTCTTCTTTCAATGCAGAAAAATGTTCATTTTGGCGCAAATAAATATCGTTCACCTTACAAATTTGCTCATCTTTTGCCTCGTTTATTTTTTCTTTCGCCTCAATTTGATTTTCTTGGGCTTTTTGGGTTTGAAAATTAGTCGTTTCGTCTAACCTCTGACTCGTAAACTTTCTCGTAAAGTCGAACGAATCGTCTTGGCGTTGTCGCAACTCGGCTATTTCGTTACTATGTGCCATTCGCATCTCTTGCATTCGGGTCTCGTGCGCTAACATTTCTTCCCATTGTTCACGCTGTTTTTTCTGCAAAAAATCAATTTCGTGCAACTGCTGATTCTGCCGTTTGCACATGGCGTCCAGGGTCGATGGAACACATCTGACGTAACTTAGAACCTCAAATTTCAGACCGGAAACGTCGTTCTTCAAAGAGTCAAGGTCATCCAGTGTGACCTCGCCCTCTTCGGCTTCTTTCATTTGATTACGCATGTACTGGTCTTTCATGGCCCGAATGATATCGGGCAATCTTTAGAAATTACAATTATGATAGATGGGTCCCTATAACAGCTAAGAACTAAGCATGGTACTTTGAAGCTATAGTATACATATTGCATATCATCGTATTATGTTTTATTTGAATCACAGATATTATCTTTATTCCTTTATTGTAAGGTCCATATGAATACAAGGTAAAAATATATGTTTTGCCCATCAACATTAAAAGGGAATTGGGTAATACGCTCAATAGTTGAATTGGATCTACTTGACAATCTTTCCATCCCCCCTCTCCATCCCCCCTCTCTCCATCTCCCCCCCCCCATAGTATTTACTAAAGAATCTCAACCCCTATAAAAAATACAGTAAATTAGTATTAAGACTTTTTATTGAAAATTCTTATTTGGCTGCATTTCTAATCTACTAAACCATCTCCCCCCCCCCTTCTTCAAAGGTGGAAATTGTGAAGATCCGTACATTTTGAATTTTTGCTTAAACGCAAAGGAATTCATATATAGGGTGATGGGGATTCTTACTACCCACAATAAGGATGAAATTATAAGGCTCAGCTTATAAAGAATCACTCCTAGACTGACCGCTTATACCTGCGACTTAAATGGTCCGTTTGGTTTTTTGTGCCTTTTATTCCATCAAAAAAGCTCATTTGGTTCATACTTTGAAATTACCTAAAAACACCTGTTCGATTTTTCTCTTGTGAACCCATCGATCATAATTGCTCCCACCTTTCTTCGCTTTCCCGCTGCTTTCGTCTCGTCTCGGCCAATTTCGGCTTGGCAATATGAAGTAACTTTTCACTTTTGTAACACATTTTGTAGAGTTTTGCAAACAACAGCATCAGATTTCGAAGTGAGGGGAAAATATTAAAGGGCGCTGGAAGACAATCTGAGTCGCTAATGTATTCCAGGTAAATATTTGACCTCGCGAATTTCCATTCCGTGTCAATATTTTCTTCAATATTGTCCAATGTTTTTGTAATCATACCAATAAGCACGTTTAATAGAACAACGACAGCAACAAAGTTGAAAAGAATGAACAAAATTGAACCCACAAATGTGTGAAGAGTCCAATTTTTGTATACTTTCGAGGCAAAAACTATATCCGAGTAGCCAAAAAGCGTCCAGTATAGCTGGTAAAGACAACCGCCTAATGTCGTGAATTGAAACTCGCCCTTTTTTACTCGGTTCATAATCATATCTGGACATTTCGTGAAGGTTTTGGTACCATTTATTGCATCACGTAACTCGCAAGCGTTTATAACTGTGTACTGATTGTTGCGATAAATTTGTAGTAAAAGTGAATTACATACGCTAATGAAAGTTGAACTATTTGTTGAAATACTATAAAAAATTGGATAATTATAAAACATTGATTAATTGAAAGGTTTTACCTAGTAACCATTTTAAAGTTTTCCTTGCTTAGTGCTTGTAAAAGTAATCATAGAGTAGTGCGTAGTAGATACCGGGGATTGATTTACTAAGAATTATGGTTTTCTTTTGCTTTTTTTCTACGATTCAGAAAAGAAATTGATAAGTGTCCTAGAAAATGTATATTTTGCTATTATTTGAAAGTTTCAAGATAATGATACACATCATTCTCAACCAAAATTTTACTTCAAAATGGAAATTCAGAGTTGAAACAGCAACATACAGTTATAGGTCGATAAAATAAATTGAAGTTTTTTTTAAAAGGATTTATGGTATTAATTCTGCTTCGGATTAATGAACGTTCGTTGAAATGATACAATTTTCCCTCTAAAACTCAATTTTGAAAAAAACTTTGGTCAAATTTGATTCAATTGGAAGATAGTAGATGAAGCAGAAACTGAGAAAAAATCAAATTGAGATAAAAACTCAATTTAATTCGTTGGGAGTTAGGAGATTTTTTTCATTAAAAATTAGCTTATATATTACATCTAGAGAAAAAATCCAGCATAAAAGTACAATGTTTGGAAAATTTTTTATCGTTTGGTATACTAGCCTAACTTATATGAAAATTCAGATTTTGTGAAAACTATTTGTTGTGAAGTAAACCCAACTCCAACATCTTATGGAAGATGATACATGAAGCATAAATTAAAAACTTGCTTTCAAGATCTACATTTCATTCTTTTGGATAAAAAAATTTGACGTAGAAAGATTTTTAGAGAAAATAATATGGAGTCTGCTGAAAAATTCTAAACAAACTAATAATTTAGCAGAACCAGATGTATGGTCTCCTAATTCTATGAATTTTAACAAGAAAAATTTCAACTAGACACACAGTAAAAATTTAGTTCTGTTTTGCTTCGATTTTTTTTTTCAATTAGAAAATTATGTTGAATTATAGAGTTTTTGCTTTATGAAGTTCGCAACGTTTTTCAATTGTTACAGTTTGCACCATGATTTCTTTTCTTTAATCGGTGTTTTTGAGAACATATCTTTTAGATGTTATAAATGTTGCAGAAATATGGAACTAAGAAAAGGTTTTGCAGATTAAAAACAATAGAACTGCTCCTAATTTATTCGAAGAAATCAACGTAAAAATACACCTTAAACTTCTCGAATAAAACATGTGCTTTCGAGGACAAAAAGCAAATTACAAACTATTTTGCAAGAAAAGTGATAATTTATGATCTCAAAATTGGATTTTTGCTGAAATAGTTTGCTGTAGAAACTAAACAAGGTAACCTAAAGGAGAACAAGTACAAAATAGATGGTAAGAGTTAGACGTTATCAGTTCTAATTTTATCTCTGCCAACAAAGTGTTCGCTCAATTGATACTTTTTTCTCCTAAATTCCTCAGTTCTGACTAAAATTTCTTGCAAAGTGAGTTCACGAGTGAAAACATGCAATAAGCAGAAAGCAAGAATAAGCTTAAGACATAGAAAATGTCTACGAAAAAACTATGAAAATTATGTTGTAGTAGCAACAGAGAGATAATCATCAGTTTTGAAGAAGGTTTTGTTGAATATCATACAATCTAATCTACTGTTAAGAGAAATATACCACATTTTTAGTCATTTTTAGCAGTAAAATAATCAGTTTTTATCAATGATCTGGAACTTATTAATAAAAATAATGTTAAAAACGGCTCAGAAGTTGTGATTTTTTCTACAAATTTGGGTGATTCTATGATAAAAAAAACTGAGGAGGAGCTGGATCATGGAATTTTGATTATTTTGAGAGAAAATTGAGGAAAAATCCTTTTTTCCATTCAAAGTTTTGTATCAGTGTCTCATAATGATGCCAATTGAAATACATTTTGAGTCTAGACATATGCAATTTTTTTTTTTAAATTAGATCAAAAGCAACAAAAAACTTGCCAAACTCTTAAAATATCTGCAATTTTTTCCAAAAACTTGAAACTTTTTTGCAAATTTTTCCAAAAACTTTGAAATTTTTGCAGTTTTTTCCAAAAAACTCAAAATTTTTGCAATTCTTTCCGAAAATTTGAAATTGTTTTAAGTTTCAGTAGGTTTCAGCATAGTTTAAACTAGATTGAGTACAGTTTCAAAAAAAAAGGATCAACTAATAAAACAGTTATTAAGTCAAAATATATCAAATCTTATCGTTTTTTGAAGTTTTTTGAAAAAATATCATTTTTTTTAGAAACATTTCCAAATTTTTGCACATCTTACTATGGACTTATCATGAACCAATAAACATAATCTCTTCATTGTACATTCTACATGTAATACTCAAAAATTACATAACGCATGCTGAGATTTTCGCGAAAAAAACTAGACATTTCCACACAAAATCCAAAGTATACCGTTTATCTTACCAATTTCTTACCATCACACTGAAACCTTACTTTTCCCTATCTTAATACATTGGGAAACCTATTCCCTGTGTTAATTCAATTAATTTCTAATCCTTATACAAAGGGATATCTATACACTATCCTAATACATGGGAATTCTGAACACTATCTTAAAACATGGTAAGATCGGGCGCCAAAAATTTTTCTGAAACTTACCATCTGAAACCTTACTATCTTAATACATTGGGAAACCTATTCCCTATCTTAATACATAGGAAATCTATAGCCTATCTTAATACATAGGGTGAAGACCGGATACTCTATAGCCTATGTTAATACATGGGGGTATTCACCCCCCTTCGAATTCATCCAACATATACTACTGATGGAGGTGGACGCCCCCCTTCAAGAATTCGACCCCTGCCGACCCAAAAGGTCGCCCCTTTGGTATTTTTTGGGCACCAATATTTACTAATTTTGAGGGGGGAGCGAGCGCAGAAAAAAAAACGCAATTTTTTTGGTTCAAATTTTCCAAAAAGTGCCTAAAAACGCTTTTTTTGAACTATTTTTTGCGGCTTAGGGAGAGCTCGAAAACTCATTTTGGTCGACCTTAAAAAAATTTCGACAAAATTTTCTGAAAACAACCTATTAAGATTAATAATAGAGCCAAAAGCAGAGAGAGATATTATTCCCAATTAGAATCCTGAGGTTTGCTGCTTTTTTCATTTGTCACGTTCATTATAATTCTGTAAATCCACCAAAAAATTTGCTCCTCAAACTGTTTTTCATTGGGCAAATTTAAACTTTTTTCCACAAGCGCATAACCAAAACTTTCTCAACTCCATACTTTTTCGAATCTTCACAAACAGTGCCTGATGAGCACAGTATCGTTTTGAAAGTCAAAGACGACCCATCGACGACTAACAATCAGACATTGCTGAAGTGTACAATGCTGAATTGAGTTTTTTCTATCTTCTGTCGTTTTACAAAAAAAAACATTGCCCAGAGAAATTGTTTCAAATTTTGACCCAAGAAGATTAAAGCAGAGTTATTAACTTCTGTCGAATCAAACCGAAACACCATCAGTTTTCATGGGGCATATATCAAGAACCACGAAACGCACTTTCATGTCAAAGACCACTATTGAACTTGAATAACAAATTTATTAGAGCAGCATTGATTAGAGAAACATTACTTACTCGAAAGAATTGATGTACTCGAACGAGTTTCGATAGACCTTGGCAGTCGAAGAAGAAATGATGGACTCCTCGAACATGAATTTAGCAAACCAAAATTGTCTCTCAAGGTTTCAGTGTTCCAGTCTTTTCTCTCATAATGGTAAAATTACGGCCAAATATTCTGACTTCAACAGATAATTCGGAATTAGCAGGCAAAAAAATTATGAAACCACCGTACAAACTTAGTGCCTAAACTCCACGACGGTCCTCTACGCAAAGACAGACAAAAGCAGATATCAGACTCAACAGCCTTGGTCGCACACGCTTCTTGTAGCAGCCAATTCTCCACCGATCTCTTCAAGTTCCTCCATCTCCCTGGCAATTGGGATAATTTTAATGACAAGCACTCCAATGGTGTGACTGACAAATACACGGCACCTTTTTTGAGCTCATCCCAGAGCCTGGCTCTAACTGTAACCTAAGTCTGGTAGGAGTCGACGCACAGCAACGGTCATGGTTCTTAGCTGTAAACAGGTCATCGAGAATTTCCGGACCAAGAAGGAGTCTGAGACCCCGAAATCTTTCAGTGAAAGACGCTTTGTGGATGTTATACCCACGGAAAGTGATAGATGATCTGAGATTCTAAATGGCGTTCGGAATAAGACTGAAGAACTAACTTAAATTCAGTTGTGTTAATGAGAATCTGTTTTTGGTTTTCGAACTGACCTCGAAGCATGTGAGAATCAGAACTCATAGGAACTAGTACATAAGTTGATGAGTTTTAGTTTTACATAACATCGTATTAGAACAGATCTCTATAGATTATATAAATATACCAATTGGTTGAATATGTAGATATAAATATAGCGCCGAATGAATATATCAGTATAGTAATGTTTTAGCTGCTGTGGTCTATTAGACCCCCTGAGTTTCTATACTATACGTTTATACTATTCCCCCTTTTTCAGCATTCCCCCTTTTTCAGAAGAAAATTTACTTTTTCTTGGTAGCCTCGTCCTTGGTGGATTTGTTTTCCTGGTTTGGCGTGCTGGATTGTGGTACAATACTAGAGCTGGTTGACGCACTCTCTTTTTCCCTCTGGAACGTCATTGAATTTTTCATGGGTGAGATCTCCTTTAGAAGTTTCATTGCCGAGTCGAAGTTTTTTATGAAGGCTGCGTCTGGGGTAACGGGTTGTTGAGGTCTGTCGAGAATGTATCGGGTACTGGTCGTTTTTGGGCGAGACGACGTTTGTATTTGCGATTCGAACTTCGTCGTATTAGTTGCAGGTATGTTCGCATCGTCTTTTTGTGCACTTTGTTTCCGAA